GTAGCAGCAGTAGTCGTCGTCGTCGTCGTCGTCGTACGTAGTAGTAGTCGTACGTAGTAGTCGTCGTCGTCGTTGTCGTAGTAGTAGTACTACTACTACTACTACTACTACTACTACTACTAGTAGCAGTAGCAGTAGTAGCAGTAGCAGTAGCAGCAGCAGCAGCAGCAGCAGCAGCAGGAGTAGTAGTAGTAGTAGTAGTAGTAGTAGTAGTAGCAGCAGTAGTAGTTGTAGCAGTGGCAGTCGCAGTAGTAGTAGTAGTAGTAGTAGTAGTAGTAGTAGTAGCAGTAGTAGTAGTAGGAGCAGTAGTAGTAGTAGTAGTAGTAGTAGCAGTAGTAGTAGTAGTAGTAGTAGTAGTAGTAGTACTTGGAGTAGTGGTAGCAGCAGCGGTAGGTTGCTGTTGTTGTGGTAATGTTAGTGATAGCAATAGTGGGAGCAAAGGCAATGGTGGTCTAAAGAAACTAGCTGCACTAGTAACCGTAATAGAAACAAGAGCATGAACATATTCGTAGCATTCATGTTACAAAGCACCATCGCCATCACCACCACCATCATCATTACCACCATCATCATCATCATCGTCATCATCAACATCATCATCGCCACCCTCGTCCACAGCCTCCTCCTCATCACCATCATCATCACCAAGGAATTTGCGATCGTAGTCATAGTCATACCAAAATAGTAAAACGATTCCTATCCAAACCTCGAAGATCGCGGCTACTGCTACTACAAGAGGAGCGTATGCAGGTAGCATGGGCAACGCCCTGGGCTGCGAGGGCCCAGAGATCTTCGAAGAAGCGCCTGTCCCAAAAGACCCCGATTGTGGCCAGCCTGCATTACAATGTAGGCGCCTAGAACTACCTGCCAATGCTGTTTTGGGGCTCCTTGTCATGATTATCGTAGAATATACCGATGTACCACAAAACTGTATTCCATTTATTATAAGGCCCCTATATTGGATCGATTGCCAGGGCTTCGGAGGACCAGAGAGTTTAAAGGTGTTGGTGATGCACGCGTGTAGTGTCTGCTGTAATGTAATGTGAGACGACGGCCCTCGGACTGCAGCATTAAATGTTGTCTTCAATATCCACGAATACCTCATCAATGTTCAAGACAGATGTTCACAGAAGGCCGCAGCGGAACCCTTGCCGAATCTGTTGAGATACACGCTGAATCGTGAAAGCCCACCGGACACTGCAAATGTTTCAAAAACTGATCGCCGGCAAGATATGCAGACACCGCTAAGAAGTTTATTAAGAATATTGGCCGTACTACCTAATGATACTGACGAAACTAGTGTTTTCCACAAGAGAGCATTTGCGATTCATATTGCGTCAATCATGTTTCGACAGACCCTCGCGTTGATTATAGAAAGGTCTGCACTTTTCTAAGATTCTGGAGGATGAATCTGTGCTTTCACGGGTTATGCTTTCCTGGCACGAAGCCAATGTTTTCACTGTCGCTTGCGGTCTAGCGAGTCCAGTTCCCGTAGACAAAAATGCCCAACCCTGATTCTTGGTTAGTTCTGGTCAGTACAAGATGTCAACAGTCAGCTCAGGCCTCAGCGCATATGCCGGCAGTGGACCATGGCTGCTTGGCTTTCCAGCGCAGTTCGAGTGGGATGTATACGCATCTAGAAGGCACCAGAAAGGCCTGCATGCCTTTTTGTTTCAGTCTTGTTGATATGTCCGGCAAGGCATGTGCCAAGTTCTGACAGATAGCAGGCAAAGAGCTGGGAAACACAGGTAGTCACTATGTTTCTAAGATTCTGAGTTCTTCACTAGCATCAGGTACACCTGCCGCCCGGATGGCGGAAATCCGATTCGCTTCGCCAAGAGAGGCATCGCCAGCTCGGGTGGCTGTGCAGCGGTGGCTCGAGCCCAATATGTCGATATGCACGCTCTCTCTCACTCCCTTCCCCCTCCCTCCTTCTCCGGTCAGCCGTAGCCTTCATGATGCGATGCACCATGCTTGTTGGTCACTTAACACAGCTCAACGGATTCCGCCTGGTGGATGTAGCCCAGTGATCCGTTGCGACATCTGCTTGAAAACGTATGAACAAAGAGATGATGACTTGCAGGTACAGATTTCATGAGATTTCGAGCTGTCTCTCTGTCTCTCTCTCTCTCTCTCTCTCGCCACACCCTACGCCTCTCAGAATCCATCACCCTCAAGCTTAGCGGTCTGAAGACGCCCCGACCCTCTGTGCCCTGCGCGGCACGAGCAGTACACCCTCGACTCTTTTCTTCGAAGTCCTCTGCACGGCTTTTGGTACTGCATGGATCCATTTTCAGGAAACCTTCCCATCGATGCTGAAGAGAGCGGCCGAATCGAAAGGAGACAAGCCCGCGATGAAGGCTGGAACCCTGTAGCTGGTTTCTAAAGTGCTGCATCCCGATGCTGACTGTTCATGACCTGCCTCCCCAAGAAAATTCCGTCTCCTTGCCGCTACTCGTCGTACGAGTGCTAGCTAGTTTGCGATTGCTCGGATCGCGCCGGGGGCAGTTTGTGGAGCCCACCTTGCCCGAAGCTTCAGAAGACTGGAGCCCAGCAGCGAGTGTGGTTGTTTGGTGCGGAGTTCTAGAAAGTAGATCCCTGAAGGAGGTTCTGAATGAACATGTTTTGCTGTAGCCTGCAAAGGTGGAGCGGCCGCTGCCACCCCAAGACAAGGCCTCCGGAGACCGTAAGCGGTAGAAGGCTAACACGCCTTTAGGGAGCCGTATCTCACAGCGGACTGAGTCTTGTTCACTGCGCCTTCCCCCTCTACGCCCAAAAGGCCAAATAAGCCTAAGCCCGAGTCGGTCCTGCAGTTAAAGGGCGATGACCTGCAATGGTCAGAGTCTCCAACAGTTTTCAAGGTTTGGCTGGAATCCTTGGTCTCAACACAGAAAGGCTGCAAGGATCACCCCCCCCCCCCCATTTTTTGGAGGGCAGAGCTGCGGCCATCGCAATCTTCCATCTTTCTATGGCTTTTTGGCTTCACTACTGCCTTTCACAGCTGCCTGTAGCCTTCTCTGCCAGAGGGCTCGTGAACTTGTCAGTTTTGTCAGGATGGCACTGTCCCGCCTGCACTTCCGGACGAGGACTCTTCAGGGAAACAATCGCACGGCGGTCCCCGCTGCAGACTTGGCTGCGAGAACCCTGCAAAGGCGAAAAGTTGAACCCCAAAGCTGACAAGACACACCCCGTGTATGGAGCTGAGAGTCAGCTTCTACGAGATCGCCATGACCAAGCTTTTGGCTCCTATAGGAGCACCGCAAGCTTGACACAAACTGCAAACGCGAGGACTGGACGACTTGGACTTTCAAGGACTACTACCGTGATGCCCGTCGAGCCGCTCGCGCCTTCCTCAAGCTCGGCCGCATGGCATCAGCAAGG